TGGGCAAGTGCTTTCAAGTTTGGTTGATGTTTGCATGGTCGACTTTTATACCTTTTATTTTATTTTTTTTTTTTTTTTTTTTTCTCTTTTTCACATCGTGGAATTGTAATTCGTTAATTGTTTAATATCTCTACTTGTTGCTGGTAGGCAAAGATGCAAAGTCTGAGCGTTTTGAGATTTCTTGGGTTGAAAAAAGTCGTTTTATGTAGTGAAGTCAATTACAGAGTTGAGCTTAAAAGACAATTAATCAGAGTGGCTTGCGAAACTGGAACCTTTTGTTGAACATTCAGAAATTTCATCAGCGATTGCGAGACTTCGACTTCGAAAAAAATCTGAAGATTTAACAGATATTTTAAAACATTTAATAACCGTTAATACAATGTTAATATTCGTGCATACGAATGGCTATTTGAATATCAATTTCTTCAATATCTAAGAAACAATGCACCTATTTATTATTTTTATTTTATAAATTCACTTCAACCTTGAACGACACAATCGACCATTATCGAATCTCCCTACGGCATTAGTGAAATATCAAAGTGAATTGATCGCTTGTTCGTTATTCTTCAACGTAAGCTTAATTGCCAAATAGAAAAATATCATCAGCTACTATTCTCTCCAAGTCTTCCCAAAATCTGCCGAATCCCTCCAACGTGTCAATAGTAAAACTAACATATGCATATAAGAATAAATACATTGAACAACTAAATCGGGAGCTTTCGATCGCTTTCGTTCGAAAAGAAGAGAAAAAAAAAAAAGTGGCTCGATGCCCGGGGCCACATGTAGGTCGAAACGCGCGTTGCCGAACCACCGTGAGGTGTATCCACGTCGGTGTATTCTATTAAAACGATAGGAAAATGATAAAGCGGTGATTAATGGTGGCGCACGAAAGGTGAAGGATTAATGGCGGCTATAGAGCCGCCGCTAGTAGATCGGTGCACGTATAATGCTAATGCGAATTGACCGATGAATACGAAAGCCCGTTACACGCTGTTGCTCGCGCCGCTGCCATGCTAACTTCATTAACAGTGACAAAACGCGAGACGCAGCGGTTTCATAGAAGAATGCGAGTTGACGTCTTACTGTGAGCTGGCGAGCCACGCCACGCCACGCCACGCCACGCCACGCCACGCTACGCTACGCATCGGCATCGAGGAACGCTGTGTGTTGTAATGTATGCGCGTGTTTGTCGTTACGCAGCGCTTAATAAATAATCCCTGCTGGCCACGCGATTTATGCGTACGTACATGCATGAATACATACATACATGCACACACACACATTGGCGAAAAATTATTTCGCGGCCATTCGTCGTTCGGCTAATACGTCATTCTCGCGATTTGACTCGCCACTACACGCGCGTTTCGATCGTCGTCTCCTCTCTCACGAAGAGATTTCTTCTCCTTCGTTTCTTCTCTTTTTTATCGTTGGAAAATTGAAGGATCGTTAAATTAACGACCGAGAGACTGCGGATCTTTGAACTCCTATAACTTCGTGTGAAATGATCGTATCATTACACACGTGATCTGTCGAATGCTCAGGAAAAAGTATAAGAGTCTAATCCTGAATTAATGAACTAATTTATGTGTTTCTTTTTTTTTCTTTTTTAAGCTTCTAATGTATTTATATGATATATTATACTATATAAGTCTTCAATTTCTTTCCGCGTTCGAGTTATTTTTAAATATTGATCTATGAAACTACAATTCACAAAGTATATGATTTACGAATCCAACGGGACATTGATCTCATTGAACTGCGAATTTTTATGGAAATATGCATAAACTGCATTTTAACAACTGCCCAAGAATCCACTGTTCATCTTCATTCTCCGAACATCTTCCTACAAACAACGTCAAACCATTGTCAGATTGTCAAACCACGGAGGAAACACATCCTTTTCTTTGTTATTCGTCAGAAAACAGCAGGAACACGTCGACGACAGTTCATCGTCGGAACGGTTGTACGGAAAACTCGAAATGGCCCCATTTTCGAGATCAGAGTGCCGCCGTACGTATTTCGAGGTCGTTGCGACGCGCTCGTCTCGCGAACACGACGCGCGTTTCCATTAATTTTCGTCCATTAACGGGACGATCGAAGCGAACGATTATAGGTTCGACGGGGAAACGAGGAAGAACGGGAAACGAACGGGCAGCGGCGATAATAATTTTATTAGACCGAGGCAGCAAAGGCACGCTGGATGGTGTGGCCAATGGAGGATTTTTTTTCCTCGAGCGACGTCCGCCGCGCCACCTCCGCGCACAGGATAGGATAAACAAATTCAATTTACCCCGGGGACGGTGGTACAAAGAACCGCTCGTTAAAATCGGAATCGCGGATAGCCCCGATCGTAATTGTTTTCATTTAATAAACCGGCCGGACTTTTGTTCCCGATATCGGGAAATAATAAAGCGATTTCGTTAAAATTCATGACGGCCCGGACCGAGGTCCCCACGCCCACGGGCTTACCTACACGGGAGGAGGTAAGTAGAGGAGAGCGAAATGCATCAACAACGATTCGATCGATTTGCTTTTTTTTTTTTTTTTTTTTTTTTTTAAATAACGGCCTTTCCTTACGTAATCGAGAAGAAAGCGCCAGGGAGAAAGAGAGAGGATCGAGGGATGGAACAGGAATTTCAAGATTGTAAATATTTAAATCACCTGACGCGCACGTAGGGAATCTCACCCTCGAGTGAACCACCCGATTCTGAATTAATCCTTTGAGTCCGTACTGGGAGCGTCGTGTAGAAAATCTCGTAACGAATAATGATACAATTTGGTTTACTTGTGAGAAATTCTTCAAATAGTGCGAAATATCGTGGCATATTGAATAAATGTGTCAAAAGATCTATGTGTTTGAAGATTAATTTGTTAAAATGCTTTTCATTCGGTACAACGACTCTTACACTTTTGGTAATTTTAAGCATTCAACAGATTAATAATTGTATTATAATATAACATAATTGTAGATATATATTATAATTATATGGCTGTATAATAATACAATTTGACGTGTACCACAACGTTAACACGAATTGATATCATTATTCATCCTTCAAGTGCAGCAAGACAAAATTTATTTCCATTTTTAGTCGTGCTAATAATCGAGAATTCTTTCAATTAAAAGCCGATACATGTACCTAGCCACGTCCGTTCGAGACTCCCACAAAATTATCGAATATCGAACGCTAAAATTCGACTTTCGCACGTTCCAAGTTCCCATCATCTAGCTAGGTGGAACTCGTTTAAAATCGATTAAAATTTTCGCATAAAAAATTCGTCGTCGATGCGAGGATCAAAGGAATCCTGTTCGAAAATTCCGTTATTTCGAAAGGAGTTACACGCGCGTCAGAATTCCACCTAGCTGACCTAACTTCACGGTCGCACCCACGTGGCCACCTCGCACACGTGCGTCCCCCGATCTCCGCGCGTCAAACCTTCCACGTTGCTCGCGAGTTTTTCTGCTTTTCGCGTACATAGCGGCTCACCGTCGCTGAAAGTTTTCGACGAGGCACGCGTTAACGATTCGAATCGGTTCGTCCAACGATGGACAAAATTGATATCCTACGTATTCTTCACTAACTCTCACAAACTTGAGCGCACCCATTGTTACTGCAACTCTCGCCAACATCAATCAAATATTATGATGTTTGTAAATTGAATGAAAATTAACAAACCCAGACGCGCGTTTACACAAAACGAGAATCCATTGACATAACTCGTCTAAATGGATTCAGTGCTCGCCGTGCGCCTGCGAGGATCAAGAGTAAATGCGAACGATGGATCGAAGGATAACGGGTCGGTTTGCTTGCTGTTCGAGTCGAAAAGAATTCCAAGCGACTTGTTGCCACAAGTATATATTTGAAAGAAACAACTTTACACAGACACCTTACAATGCACAATGTTGATTTCCGCAGAAACGCGACGCGCGAAACTACCAGAACAGGAATAACAAAGTTCAGAAAAATCTTCAAACCAGCTGAAAAAAAAACTTCGTTCGATCGTTACGAGACCTCGTGTAAAAGTTCACGTACACAAATTTACGATCTACTTGAACGATAAATACAAATGGAATTTATAAATTATTGCAAGCAAATGCAGTTTTCATCCTCGAGACAAATTATCGTGAAATATCTCGTTAACCATTAGGTTTAGGACAAATGTGACTTGACACTTTTTTAGTTGGAATTCAATATTCTATTCTTTCGGTCTGTGATGAGAGAAATATATGGTCCAATTAAAGAAAAAAATAAATTTCGAAACCTCTTAACACACACAAAAAATTGATACGCCCTATTTTTCCTCCCTTAAAACTATACAACTTCTGTATTAAACAATTTTTCATTGTACGCGTAATTTAGTTGTGGTATGCGAGTTACGTGAATCACCCTGTATATTTCTCGCTTAGTCTCAATTGAGCAGACGTTAGTTTCGATTTTGGACCCAACACACTGCAGGGAATAAAGAAAAACATTCTTAAAGTTGAGAAACCTAACGAAATTTTTCTTAATTTTCTATGGACAGTAGGCGTGCACGTTGTAACACGTCGATTACGAAACGAAAGCGTGCATCGCAAACGTATTTCAAACGTGTATACAGGGAGCCTTTTCAAACCCGTCCTCCGAGCGGATCGCGCGCTGTTGCGCCACGTTTGCGCGAAAAATTATATTAAATTAACACGCGCGGCAAATTAAACAAATTTCACCGTACGCCTCGTCTGTGGCGCGCGAGCGGGCACACCGAGCAAATATTACGTCGATAAACACTGTCGCTTCTGAAAGGATCCGCTTGTGTCTCGCAGCGTCGCATAACCATCGTTCTTCATCCTCGCCAACACACCTCTCTCTTTCACGCCTCTTCTCTCCAGATGATGTCCTGCGAACAGAAAATTACCGGCTTGTAAGCAACGCGATCTCGCACTGGTCCTTATCACACCGTGTTCTTCTGCTTCTTCGTACTCGCGCAACGATAGTTCCGCGTCGTGAGCATGTCGGTTGACGGCTTCCAGGAGTTAGTTTGACGTTGCGGGACTCGCGTCAGTGGCCAATTTTCGCGCGAACGTTTCTCGTTTATAATTTGAGATTAATTAAGCAAATTAGAATTTTGGTCGATTAATTTACGCGAGTGAATTTTCAGTATCACTGGTATATAATTTAGAATGAAATTACCGAATTGTTTATTCCCTGTGATCTTTATCTAATTTCACCGCTATTGTGGAAAATTTGGTCGATTAACGTTACTGAATCGATTAATCTACGTTACTGAATTTTCAATATCGTTAGTACAATCTAGGATGAAGTCGCCGAATTTTAGATCTGAGTTTTACCTAATTTCGCCGCGATACTGATTTTTGTAATTAAATTTGATTCCAATTCTTTTGATTTTTCTCTTTCTTTTAATCATTCAATTTCTCACCGCGTTAGGTAAATCAATGATAAATGTCGACTAAATTGAAAGTCAAGTGATCGAAATTAAGTAATTTGGGAATTGCTGCTGTTCCTAATTGCAGCTTTGAAACTTTCACAAGTGTATAATGACAAACCACTGCTGTCCCACAATTGAATCTCAACATACACAACACGACACGACGAAGTAAATTGACGTCACGTCAAACTTGAATAGATAGATACTTTTTCACCGTTCGATCTTCGTACAACTGAGTGCGTATTAAAATAAATGCACGGTGCACGGAGCTACGAGGCTTCAAGCACACAAATGTCACACAGCCGACGATCGACGTGAGTAGGCCTCTATAAATAGTCGGTCACGGTGCTGCGAAAAACTCACTGTTTTTACGATAATTACCGCCACTTAGTGACCCTGCTCCTTTCATCGTGTCTCGAACGCGTCGCCCAACATACGCCTCTATCCTAGCTGCTGTGTCTATCCATTCTCTGCAATTAACGTGCTCGACCCTTTTGTTCCGCTCGCTGAATACTGGTAGCCAGATATCGCGTAAAAGTCGAAAGCATAGGTGCAACGAAACTTATTACCGCGGCACGTGTATTGGAGCGCGAACTGATATCAGTTGATATCGAGGAACTTTCGTCGTTAAGAGAGCTCGTAAAGTTTCGCACCGATAATGGCGCATCAACGAACGCGGTTATATATTTTACATCGGCGTGGATTAAGAAGCAAGTAATACGAGCATTTATCGCAGAAGAACTTTTGCGTGTTATACGACAGATCATCGCACTGTATCATAAATTATGAATTAAATGATGAAAAATTACTCGCAATCATGCCATCTTTCTACGATCTAAACACCATGAATTATATTATAATTTTTGTCATCAAATTTCTTGCATCCAACAATTTCATCTGGCGATTTACGGACGAAGAGCGTACACATTCTAGAAACGAATCCATTTACAAAAAAAGAACCGTCCAAACTTTAAACCAATCCGTCCAACTTTTCCAACAAGAACCATCTAAACTTCGAAGAAAAAACGCGAAAAATGTTTTAAGAATACAACGAGCAATTACCATCGCTAGAGGAGAAGCTACATATACGCTGGCGCGTGCATATTTCAAGAAGGTGCAACGCTGCTCCTTTGATATACGAATGCTCTCGTGACCGAAAAAAGACAAAAAGAGAAAGAGAGAGAGAGAGAGACGCGAGCTCGTATAATCGGGAGTACGCCGAGGGCCACGAAAACGCGCGGCGTGTAAACTGTCCAATAAGTAAGGGACGGAGCAGGGAGGAGGTCCGATCTCTCGTATCCGTTCGCTTCTTGTAGTTTGCGCCAGTGCGCCGCTGCTTGCTCTCTGCTCCTGCTGTTCGCTGCGTTTCATAACGTAGCCAACGCACACGTGTATCGAAAAAGAAGGAGGACCCGCGCGGTGGTGGACCTAGGGACGCCACCACCGCAGCTATAAAGAATATCCGAGAGACGGAGAATAAAAGCGGGCTTGACTTATTTGAACCACCACCACACGGCGGAAGGAGAGAGAAACTCGAAAGAGACGGGACGAGACCGGACATCGCGGTGGAGCGAGATAAAGAGAGAGAAGGAGAAAAGGTCCAAGGATCGAGATGGAAGAATCGAGAGGGAGTAGAAAGAAGAGGGCCCCGGTCTAACCGGCCGCGAGACCTCGCGCAGCAACGAGGAAGACCAACCAACAGCCGCAGCAGCCGGTGGCCGAACACTGCTATATTGCTCGACCTTTGCGATCCGAGCACGCGTGCCCACACACGTTGGTCTTCGTCTATCGCTCTCCGACCGATATTTTGGCGAACTTTCAAAGTTCTCGAGTGTCCGAAAGTTTTCATACATCCCCCAGACTGTCTAGAGAGAGTTCGAATATTGTCTCGGAATTTCGAGACTATTAACCGCTGGAACTAAAGTAAATTACTCGTAGCAACGAGGTTAAAGTGCAAGGTACGAGAAGAAAGTTAATAATACAATAAGGAAGTATTTAGGGCTATCTATCAAGTAATGTCGTCTTTTTCTTTTCAAATTTAATAGACATTGCCATCTAGTGACAATAATTTGACTTATTACAACATAATCTACATTCTAAATAAAAATAAAATATACAATTAAATGTACGATTAAACAAAAATTAAATATAATATATTACGGTACTTTCTGCAAACGTTTGAAATAGCTAGCTTTAAACTCTCTGCCAAAATTCTGTTATTCTTTAAATTTGGTTCAAGAACGAACAACGACTGGCGATATGAAGCAAAGGGGATCGACAGCGAGTCTTCCGTGACGGTAGCGACGTATCAAGACCTTTAGGCTGACGGGACTCAGGTAAGGGGGGACACGACCTGACGCGAGGCCTCGTGAAACACCGGTTAATAATACGCGCGCGAAGTTTATGTCGCCGGTAGATTTCGTACGTCACGAGTTTATTGTGACGTGCCGCCGAGGCTCGGAGGGATCCTCCGTGCAAGCCGGGCGTTTGCATAAAAATACGCCGGGTGATTGAGTACTTTAGAAAATTTAAGGGCTATAGATTACGAGACCGCGGAGGAAACAATGCTCTGTCACGGACGTCGAGCGAGAGGTTCTTTCTCTAAGAAGCGTTAGGGTGACCGTGAAGAAGGACCGTTGAGAGAACTTTTCTGGGTGACTTCCGGCCAGGGTGAATCTTTCAGCAACACTGATCGTAATTTTCATTCTTTTTTATTAACTGATATTAATCATTTGTCTCGCGCGATTTTTCTCTCGATCGTCTTGGTCCGGGACATTGTTACACGACAATGTTCTAATCGTAATGGGCATTTGTTATGTACAATTCGAAATTTAATATTTAAACATTCAATACGAAATTTAATATTTAAATATTCGATACGTATGCGATAGGTATTTCTTTCTCGAATTTAATATTTAAATATTGCTTTTTCCTTCGTATCGAAACCATAACTCACGCCACGAGTGTAACTAGGTATCATCAAACAAGAAGTTAATAATAATTATCTAAAATTCATTACTTCGTAATAACCTGATGGTGTTGGAAATGGATGCAGGCAGGTGATATCTGACATTTTATCGGTATATAAATGAATTAACAACTTCATAGACTGTTCAGGAATATTATCGTCATTACACAGGTATTATACCTGTGCTGATCGCTCGTTACGCGATTAATTCCTTTTACATGTGTCGTCTATTAACATTACATCTCACCCCATTCAATTCCAACCGGCTACTACCCGTATACCTTTATGCGCAAATAAAAACAACAACTGTCTAATCGTAATTTATCTCGCAGATGTGAAGCCACAGCTTCTCCTCGAGATGACCGATTGCAAGAACGATTTCCGGCCTGAACTCTTCCCCACCACCTAATCCGATCCTAATTTACTTACTAGTCCAAACCAAGCCCTGATACTCTCGTCCCCGGGCTGTATCGATCCTCGATCTCGGTATATAACGCTTTCAATTACGTCCAACAATGATGTCCTCGATACACCGAAGAAAAGCGAGAATGATATCGAGCGGAACCTCAACGGCGACGAAGAAAGAGGGCAAGAGAGACGAGCAATCGAAAAGGTGAAATGAACGAAAAGGAGGTTGAGATGGAAGGGGGAGAAAAAAAAAGAAAGAAAAAGAGAAAAGGAGAAGAAAGAAAGGAAGGTAGGAGGGGGAGGTAGAAGGTGGTTCCACCCCGCGGTGAGATCCGGCCGAGTAGATGATTATCGGGCATATAGGAAATTGAAAGGGTGTCTAAGGAGGTGTCTAGCGAACAGTTCGCGGGGGCGGTTTTCTCGGCAGGGTGGCACTCTGACTTAAGGGGTCTTAAGGGTATTCGGACACCCACACGGAAAGATGCTGCTCGCCGATAGCCGCTGCCTACCTCGGATAATAGGTTCCACGGGTTTTCGAAGCACGCAGAAGCAGCCACCTTCGTTTCTGTCTCTCTCTTTCTCTCTCTTGCTCCCTTTCTCATTCGTCCTTTCTCCATCCTTCTCTCTTTCTCCTCTGTTTTAGACCGTCGAATGGTTTCGAACTGAAGAACCCGGAGTCGTAGTCGCGCCACCAAACCGATCTTCCTCCTTCTCTGTTTCCGTCTCGCGCGCACCGTCAGGTGCACACCTCCTCGCGTTCACCGATCGCTATCTGCCAAATCACTATCAATCACTCGCCGATCCAGACACCGGCCGCTGCTCAATGAACCCAACCGTCGAACCGATCCCCGCTAAGCCTGCTTTCCTCTCGCGATAAATAAATCGGACTAGCGACTTTAACGAGCTGTCTCTGCCTCCTCTTTCGCTCCTGCCGTCAGCTTTCTTTCTCTCTCTCTCTCTCTCTCGTTCTCCATTTCGTTCTCTTTTCTTCCGGGGATAAGCACACCGATCCGAGGAGAGTGAAAAAGATTCAAATGCGACGCGGACGAGGACGAAAGACATTTTTAAGAAATCGCGCGAATGAAATCTTTCGAATCTCTGAAATATTCCAACTAACTTTAAGACAATTTATCCAACATTCACGTCAATTCTTTATTTTCGCAATTCGTGCTTACGTCAGTTCTCTGAAACAATAATAAGAACAGACTCGTAAAATTTCGAATTCCCGGAAATTCCATTATTCCAGAGACATTGCACTTGTCTCTTAATAAATTCGTCGGTCCAGATCGTTTAAATCGCCACGCACACAATTCGCTCGCTGCCCGGCGATCGTCGAGGAAATTTTGTTTGTACGGCCCGGTTGGTTCAGCCGTCAGGGACTGGTTCGATCGTTCCGCGAATGCTCGTTAAGCCTCACCGTGAAATTTGGCAAGTTCCTCGCCTCGCTGGGTGGATCATCGATCATGCCGTTGATGGGCCTTGAACAACAACGCGCGACCGGATCGCCGCCACGGAAGCCTCCGGCGTAAGCGAAGCCCGAGCTCGTCAAATCGCAATTAGACGGACGATTTAAAAGAAATTTTTCATCGTACCGCGCCGAGACGTGCAGCGAGACATGGTCGAGAGTAGTAGTCGGTCGTCCCGCTGGATCTCCACGTGTGTACTGTCAGATTACGAATTTTTCATTACTAGAACTACCGACCGACCAAAAAGTATAAAATTTCGAAATCTTTCACAATACAATAGTGTACACAATTTAGGCATTTTACGAAGAATCTCCATCAAGTCTCCAGAAATGTTTCATATTTATAACAGGAACATTCAAATGGTCATTTTAACCATTTTGGTATGAGAATGAATGATCAGAACGAAGAGAAGCTAGACATCCAAATATAATTCAACAAGTATGAAAAACAGTTCTCTGTAGATACGTAGATAGAACGAGAGAGAGGTTTTAGCGAGTTGACCGGTGCGCA